GCATATATTAAGGTTTAATTATAAACCTTTATAAGTTGTGGAATAATAAGTAACGTTGACGTTGACGTTTATGATGACCAAATTACTAAATTGATGTCTATCTGTATATCTACAGGTGTTGCCACCAGGTGGTGCCATGGTACTGTGTATGTATGACATGCTCACCAGAATGAATGTTGGAATGCTGTATATTTTTCAACACATTTTCGAAAAGGTAAGTGCATCAGCAGTCACATAGACCCACTCTTGATACACAGGATAACAGTAAGAATCCCCTACGTCATGATGTATAAGCAAGAATGTGAGCAAGAATATTTCACTGTGGACTCGTCAATCCTTGTCATAGCAAATGCTACACACTCAAGAACGCCTGTTACTAGCACATGCATTGAGCAAACACCAGGAGAAAAAGCTCTGCTTATTATATCCAGATATCTAACCTGGCGACACCTGAGCGACCGTGATACTAGCAAGTCGCCATACCTGCACACTTGTTTAGAGAGAGACTGAGTCACTGATTAGTGAGGAAGCGTGTCACTGTCCGCTACTTTGCCGTCGTTCCAGGTCGGCGTGTACGGGCAGAAAACCCATCACCAGTGCGAAATTGGAGGTCACAGGTCAAAGGGCAGTAGGGGAAAGGTCAGATATATCAGACATTTTCTGAGGACATGGCCTAACGGACAGAGTGAAAAACTTTTTTGTTTCAGCACTAACCTACCATCTTTATGACTTTATTGAAAGGACCATGAAATGTCGTTCCAGGTCGGCGTGTACAAACCAGTGGCGACATCTGTTGGCGGCTCCCGCGTGCTGGTATGCGCCGGCTACCGTGGCTGCCCAGGATACCTACTCCACCACATGCAGGCAGCTGCTGTTCTGACCTCGCAGCTAACTCAAGGGCACCAAGTACTGCAGTTGGTGGCCATGAGTTGTCTACTAGGTATGTGTACTACTCGTTTGGTAGTCTACTAAATTATATGCACTGTAGCGCATTGCACGCTCTCTGGCGAATAAACTAGAATAGCAGTCTGAGCAGAATTTATTGTCTGCGTATTAATCTGGTTGAATCCGTTGGTAAAGTACAATCTGGGTAAATTCGTTGGTAAAGTCTACAATGTGGTTGAACTCGTTGGTAAAGTCTACAGGAGGCATATATGTAAATATCTTGCAGAGTGAACCGTGCCAACTACAGTCAAACATGTGCATAATAGTCAGTCAAGAGAAACCACAAATATGTTTATTCTATAGTGGTACCCGCGAACACAGGTTTGACTGTATAGTAGTTCCAGATAATGACACTGTGCGGGATGTTGTGCTTGTTATATACTTTGTTATATAACTGTGTGATTGAGCAGTTGCTGGCATAAGGTTCAGCTGTGAGTGAACGAGCCCATGCAGTTAGCAAGTGCCATAGAGTCGAGCTGCGCGAATGGCATGGCCTGCACCCCAATATCGCAACGATTCAATTGCTTCTTTCAGAGAAATACTTTTACAATTTCGTCTGCGACATGAACGATAATATATTGCTGAGACGCCTCCAGGCTTTGATGGCAGACGACCTGCAGACCTGTTGACAAAAAAAACGTAGAGCAAGTTAGGTAATGAAGAGCCACTCTTGCCCTAGTAAAATGTATTTATCATTATTTATCAACCTAGTAGAAATTAATGTGTCATTATTTTACTGTAAAACAACAGCAATATAATGTCTCGTACAAAGGAAGGTATCACACATCATCGTGAATATTAGTAAATGTAAAGCCAGTTGCTTCATGGTGTAGATCTAGTAATCTTAGTGAACATATGCTCAGCTTCCTGCGTATTAGTGAAACTTGGACATCGATGATTTAGCATGTCATAGTTGTCTTGCTACAACATTCATTGCATGTAAATATATAGTGAAAGTTTTACTTGCTAGTTTTCACGTGGTCAAAAAATATGCTTAGATATTGGATATATATAGCATAAATATTGTAAATAATTGAATTAGAAAAAATACTTTTTATTTGTTGTTTCTACAACCGATTTTTTGGTAAAATAATGTGTTTGTTCTTGTATGTATATGTGCAATAGAAATAGATGCAGACACTAGGTTGACTAGAGTATAACTAGTATATTCTTCTGTTATGTGCGAATTAGACGGATATTGTGAAATAGTGATGCTTTTTGACCGAGTTTTGAGATTGTAATAATATTTGTATAAAATTGAGAAAAGTGTGTTTATATTATTGTCCGCCAGATGGCAGCTGTATCGGGTTTGTTACGGGTATACGTTGCAGTGGCAATTTCTTGAACAATAATTTCGTTAAAAGTTAACCGCAAATGATTATATGTAAACGAATTGTATGTCCTTTTAATTATGGCGGAAGCTACCGCTTCGGTTTCGACCACAAAAACTGAGACGATTGAACATGTAAGTAACACAAACGTGTAAGACTAGAGCTGCATTTTCTAAGCTAGCGCAGCTATCCTGCGTTATAACTGAAACTGCGTCATAATGCCCACAGGCACTTGGCGCGTTTCAATAAAATATAATGGGATGCTAAATAAATACGAAATCTATTTACTACCAAAGTCTTAATGTTTCTATACTCTCTTTCCCCTATTATTGCTGACAATTTCCTGTAAATGCCGTCCAAATGCTAAAGATTGCTCATCTGACAACTAACGTCGGGCTGGCCACTGCACACTTGACACATAAATATATATCCTAGTTGGCTACGCCGTCCGGAACCGTAGGTCACCTATCCTCCAGCGCCTACCGCATCCGTGAGGATACACCCGACGTTCGTCCACTAAGTGGATCCTTGCGACCACGTACAGCATGATTGAGCCGACATAAGTACAAGGTCACTCTCTGTATGTCCATTTTCAAAATGAAAAACACAGCTTTTATCTCATTAATATAAAATATTAATATCCAATAATAATGCTGTCGCACATTCTTTGTCCGTTGCTAATA